TGTATTTATCTTCAAGTGGAACTATTTCGAACCCTTATATTAAATTTTCATTCACGTAAACATCTGACGACGTGTTAGGTTTTTTTTTTGTTCATTTTCAAGTCCAAAATACTTATTTTATGGTCGTAAATTATATTTAAAATTAATGAAATACAATTCATTTTCGTGTAGTAAAGTAGTGAAAACTGTCTTATTTTAAGCCGACGTTTCGCCCCAATCGGTCGAGATGTAGTTTATTGTGAAACAGTAATTCATTTTCGTCAATATATTAAATTAACATACCTTTCTTTATTGAATAATATTACAATCTGCCACTCAAAACTTTAGTAAGTAGTGATAAAGGAGGTCATTCACACCGTATATAAGATAAAGGAAAAACAGCAAAATAATAATACTAAGAATACATATATATAGATACATATAAACAAAATGAAACTTAAACTAATTAAAACAACTTCAATTAAGGCACAATTTTATACAATATTTACAAAATTCATTCACTCAGATTAATTCCGAGCCAAGCCATTCCTCCCATCTGTGAGAGGAAAAGCAGGACTACAGGAGATCCCAGCTCTCTCAATCAGCCGCATCACTGGTATTATAGAACAGGTCTAGGCTGATCAGAGACGCTATAATAACAGACGTACATGGCTTGACTGTTCGCCAATATATTATGATTCTATACTATTCCATAAGATTTTAGTTTTGTTTTATTTCTATTTTCATATAAATGGTATTCCATCAAGTTTTCTTCAGCAGCTTGGTACTGTTATAGACGACAGTAGTGATCGTTTCGTTCTCACTTTGAAATATCCTGGGAGCACGTGGTTTACTAATCGGTCGCGATCAGATTTTATCCTCTCTTCATCAGGAACTTTCCTGAAGGATGATACGTTACTGTTTTCGTGCAGGATTCGAACCCGCGCCTTAGTGGTCTGTCGAATTAGTCGAGTAGGGCCTGCGCCTATTCATTTTAATTTAATAAAATTTTCTTTTTATGTTATTATTTTCCGTGAACGGGATTCGAACACTTAATATACAATTTTTTTCAGGTTCCTTAATTGCTTGACCACAGCGGCCCCAATTTCTAAGTCTAATTCCCCTAAGTAAATTTTTAAAATTTAATTTTTTCCTAAAAACGTAGTTTATAATCAGATTAAATAACTATTAAGAATCCGATTAATGTTCCTGTAACTGTCACTAGCACTACTTCTGTCAAACTTGTTGGAACAACAGTACTATCACGGCAGTAAAATCTGCTACGACAGCGAGTTCCTTATAGTTTACACGATAATTTGTTTTCTGAATTCTTCTCTTGTGTCTTCTCCGAATGAGATCCCGTTCTATGAAGGGTTTTGCCATCATCGCAAAGAAAACCGCCCATTAAAGAGAAGAAAATCCTTTTTAATGGGACCGAAGGCCTCTGAAAATGGGACTTAAGCTTAATGGTACATTTCCTCGAAGCTGTTTATACTTTATGACGGGAGAGGAGGGGGAGGGAAGAGCAGGATGATCTTGGTAGATAGTTCATCTCTTGAGTGGTCGGCGTGGCCGTGGATAAGGTTTACCAACAAAAAACTATTGACAATGTTTTATAAAATAAAAAGTTTAAATTATTTTCAATGATAGAGCTAAAATATTATACCTATCTCAAAAGCAGCAGGCTCGTTTATTATGGGACTTGTTTATTACGATATTGCTGGATTTGTGTGTTAAAAATCACAATATGCATGAATTAAGTCGTGAGAACTGTATATAAGTAATATGCGGGAAGGTAGAGTTATTCCTAATAAGTTATACAGTTTATTTCTTAATATTTTTTTTAATTTATGATATTCACAACTGTATTAATATAAATACATCAAGTAAATGTGTGCACAGAAATATAATCACATAAAAACTCTTGTTCACAAACTACCCACAGATAGCACTCTAATAATAATATAGGAGAAAACGCGGCCATTTTCTTTTCAGACGCCTCGGAGGATTGTCAGGAATTGAAGAGGAAGTAAGGTTAGAAACAAAAGGATTCGGATGGTTATGAAGTTTATTATGGAAGGATAGGTATCTGGATTGGGCCAAATCGAAAACATATGGAACATTAAAGTCTTCATGGATTATTTTATTTGTAGCAAAGTAAGGAGCATTAGGATTTTGGATTGTAGGGGTTGGATACGAGAGGAATTCGATGGTTTAATGGAGCCCCATAGCTCAACTCCATAAGTCCAAATAGGTCTTATTATAGTCATGTATATGAGTCTTTTGTAATTAATTGGGAGCTTAGATCGTTTTTCCTGTAAGTGTTGAAGTAGTCGGAAACGTCGAGCTGTTACTTGTCGTTTCAGTCTGGTATGAGGATTCCAAGTGAGACGTTTATCCAGGTGGAGTCCTAGGTATCGGATTTGTTCAACAGGGGTAAGTGGTGGGGGGAGGGGGTGTTATTAAAGGATACTAAAGGACAGGAAGTCATAGGTTTACGATCTTAATAGATAATTAAAAATCTAAGGTGTGTGATTTAGACGGCACGATATAAGTGAAAACATCAATAAGGCGAGATTAATAATATGAAATATAAATTATAAATAATAGTTCATTAGAAAGAAGAAGAAATGCTGAAAATTACTCTCGCTTACGGGTCCGATTTTTAGTATCCAAAATATTTTAATCCATATGTTCAACTAATTTTGTTACAATTTAGTTTTCGACTCTATTTCCTCTTTTTCGCCTTCTAACACGATGTCGCGTTAAGATACAATTTCGAATTATAGCCTATTACAGAGAGGATGAAATGCTGAACATTACAATCGCTAACAATATGGAGTTTTCAAAATATTTTAATCCATATGGAAAAACACTTCAATTAGTCGACTCCATTTGACTTTACCCGAGCGATACAAATCGAAAATCTGACGGCTCAATCTAATTCACTCTTCACAAAAAAAAAAGTGTATTCACAATATACTGGCACAATTTTTAGTTTCTGAGATTTTTTAATCCATATGTAAAAACGTTTCAATTAGTCGACTCTAGCCAACTTTCCTCGAGCGTTAACGCTTTGGAAATCTGACGGATCAATCTAATCCACTCTTCAGAAAAAAGTACAAAACGCGCCTAAATAATTTATCACTTCATAAATTATTGACATAGTAGAAAGCCGTCTTTCAAATGTTTTCTCTAAAATGTTTTAATGTTTATCTTCTAAAACTTCGAATACATCAAATAACCATTGTTTATGATGTTTCTAATATAAATAACATTTATAGGTGATAAATAGTCAGAACGCAGTAATTTTTAATGTTTTTATTGGTGCTGATGTTTGGTGTTACATCGGCACCAATAAAAACCTTAAAAATGTCTTGACTATTTATCACCTATGATATGTAGAATGGAGGACTAACTTCATAATAAAAATAATTCATTTAATAAAATTTAAATTGACGGACCATTTAGTAATTAATAATTTTTGTTATATTTACTTAGGTTTATTGAAATGTATTATGTGTTGTTTACTAAATCAAAATCATTTTACATTTATAAGCAGTTTTATAATTTTTAAATTAACTGTCCCAATCTTTACCATTCAGTTTGTCTTTAATTTCATTACGATTTATTATTTTTTTCTTAAAATACTATACTCTATATTCATGTAAAATAGGACAAACAGAATAAAATACATCCTCAACTATATTTAAATTACAGATACTAAACTATCTTAGTTGTATTACTTATTCATTACTCCAATGGAATTAGGGAAATTGATAGCATTTGTTCAATATCCTCTTATTTTCTAACATTTCTTCCAATTTTAGGATAAAATGAATCAGATAACTATTTTTGAAATAAAGTGGGATTAAGTGAAATAATTTTGCGCATATGTTAGATAGTGGATGGAATTTAATAAAATTGATACAGCGTAATATTTGTACTAATTACCAACTTTTTGCCCCCAATCAAACAAGAGCGGTTTTTAAAATATAGGCCTATCTATTTTAAGTCTATTTGTAATGATCTTCATTTACGCTTATATATCTGTAATTTTAAGCTTTGAGGGTGATTCTAATTTGATGGAATTTAGGTGTAATAAATACAATTCCTCAAAGTCTTTCAACGGTTTTATTAAAATAGAATTTACAGTATATGGCTGTCACATGGATATGCAAATAGAAGATTGCCGTGGAATCAAATGTACATTGATGTCTAAAACATAAAACGTGATTGGAAATGTTCGATTCTAAACATAAACATTTTTCTAATGCGTGAATTTCTGCAAACAGTGAAACGCGAAACATTATGAAATAGGTTATATTAAAATGAATCGCTTAAGGTAATATCATTATAGGTAATCGATATTATAGATGATCATATCAACACCTACCTAAATTGTTTTTAAATCGATAATTTTTTTATCACTAATCATTTTACGGTTTTCTCAATTAAAGTTAATTACTAAGGTTAAACTATAGGTAAAGGTTATCTCAGTTTCGAGCTTAAACTTCGCAAGTAGATTGATGTTAACAACGCAATTCTTATTTATGAACATAATTGATATGCGACCACTGTTGTATTAAATCATTTTGTTTCTAGTTATTTTATGATGCGTTGCCTTTTTGAATATATTTCAACCGAATGAGCCAGTCTTGACGCCTGGTATATTTATTATTTGTTGGATATTTTAATTACCAAAAAGATATTTGTACAATTAACTATAAAGTAGTTATTGCATGAACTTCACGATTCAATTAAAATCTATCATTAATTAAAGGGTAAAAATTTTGGCATTAGGATTATGGCATTCTCACTAAACATTCATGAAATATCGCCTGTTTAATGCACAAAGTCATTAAGTGACATTTCGTAACGTTAAATCAACAAAAACTTCGATGAATTTTCCATTTATGAAACTAGAAAATTAAGCGCATGTTGCAACTGTATTTGATATATAAAAAGGTTTGTATCATTTTAGTGAATTAGCAGTGTTGTTTTTTGTATCGATAGATAAACTTTCATGCACGTTCGATAAAAGTTGAACTCCATGAAATATGTAGTTAGTGACTTTTTGTAATAAAACGTCCATATTTTCTACTTCAGTATATTGATATGTTAGTTTTATTGGTAATTATTTCAATTATTCAAATTTAAAATAAATTGTAAACGAAATCAAATGCACATGACGTTAGTTGGCCAGGTGTTTATAGAGTAGCAAGAAACTTTAAATAGAAAGATTGAAAAATGAAACTTTACAAATTAGTGCCCAATTTGCGAACAAATTATTTTATCTAATTTTGTCTTAGAGATGCTGCCGATTATGACAGGAAAAGTCTCCTATTTTTCAACAATTCAAATTTGATTCGACTACAAAAGGACTGTGGTATGGCGGGGAATGATTTATGGCACAATATGGTCACCGCGGCCAAGAATAAATCGGTCGAAATCGCCGAGTTCGTCAAGAACGACATCAACGAACTCTCCTCCGCCGTCAGCTCCGAAGTCCTTTACTATTCTGATGCTGTGAAACGCGGGGCTTCTAACCTTCTTGGGAACGTCAAGGAAAGTTTAAACCTCAACAGAAGTTTTGTTCCGAATAACGGTAGACATTCGGTGAGGTCCTTCATAAGGGATCTGTGGAGCCCGGAGACGATTCACGACGATGTCAGTCCGATGATCATCAGGGACTCTGAGGCGGTACCCATGACCGACGTACAGTACAGACATCACGTTCTCGTAACCGAACCGAAGAACTTCACGGAAGGCTTCTCCGAAGTAGAGGAACGGCAGGCTGGGGCTTGGTACGCCACTGCCGGTGAGAACTTGCAGGACGTAGAATACCTCGGGAAGCAGCTGTCGGAGTGTCCTGCGCTCGCCGACATGTACAGGACTCTGGTTCCTGAGCAGGTGACCCACTCGGAGTTCTGGAAGAGGTACTTCTTCAGGCGTTATATGCTGTTTGATTGTTATTCCGAAGAAGATGTCGGGAATTACTACACAGGAAGAAGTGAAAGAAGCTCGTTGCTGGAGGATATAGGATCATTCGATGATAATGAACATAAAGAGGAATCGGATAGAATTTCTACTGGTGGTGATGAACCATTCTCCATTGAAATAGAAAATCCACGCGGATCATCGTCTAGCAGTGACAGGCTAACGAATAACGAATTTGATATAGAAACGGACGACGTAACGCTATACGATGTTATATCGGCTGACTAACTAAATTGTTTAAAAAATATTTGTTTTTGTTTTTGTTTACAGTTAATAAGTATAATTACAATCGTTCCAAAATATTTTAAATAAAACTTAAATGCTTATGTTTAGATATGCATTGAATTAACTTTAGAAAACTGACTTCAATAAATATAAAATACTGCTATATTCTTCAGCTCATCAATCATGTTATTCGTCTTCGTTCATACACGCTGCAGGAAAACTAAGTGAACACAATAAATAAGCACACTATAATTAATTCTTTATTAAATAACATAATCCTTTTGGCAAGAGACAACGTGGGAGTCCAAAAACCTGATCAACAAATAGATATAAGATATAAGATAGGTACAAGCCCCAAGATAGGTAGAGGAGGAGAAGGCTTATCCAGGCATCATAAGAACATAAGTACAGTATATATAATTCAGAGCCGTCGTTTATTTTTAACAAATACCAATAATTGGGTTTTTTTTAATTTTGACCCTAGTAGGATTAGGTATGAAAATTATGGAGAGGTTCACCACAGTGTATTATATACAAGCTATTCTTGAGTTCTTGAAAACATATATTTAAGTTCGTTTTATTGCTTTAAAAAAAATATCCCTCCTAATATATAAATGGACATATTAGTTACAATACCGTTTATTATATGCAACTTATTTATTATAACTTAAATGTGTACAGAACAAAACCTAAGACTATTATACTCACTCCTTTCAAGACATTCAAATTAAAACTTAGAAATGGAATACATACGTCTATTTATTTAAGAACATTTCAACCTACGCTTCAAAGATTTAGGGAACAGCCAAAATAACCCATGTACATAAACTACAGACTTTCCAATCGAAAACTTTCAAGACCATAGTCCTGTTATAATCAAGGCTCCCTGGTAATGTCACATCTTTACATAAAGAACTACAGATTCGAACAGTTAACGATCACCTATGAACAAGATTTCAAAATAACTTGCACGGACATATCAACTCACTGATTCAAGGATTGGCCACAACTAACGCCCTATAAACCCGTAGAAGACTAAAAAAAAAGCTGAATGAGGGATCTCCTCAACTGACTACAAATATTAAAATCAAGACAGGAAGGAAGGCCGCTGGCTACTCCTCTCCTTCAACGACTTACTCCAAATTCTGCTTCTCGACATCATATATGCTGTTATTCGATACTTCTGACATTAGAAAATTAAAGTTTAAAAAAATTAGGTTTGTGCTTTTGACTACACGATAGACGTGAAAACATCAACAAGGCCAGATTAATAATATTAAATATACATTATAAATAATAGCCCATTACAAAAAAGATGTAATGCTGAATATTTCCCGTGCTTACAGTATGCAGGTCCGATTTTTAGTTTCTCAGTTATTTTCATCCCTAAATTCAATAAAACTCGTTGTCATTTGGTTTTCGACTCTATTGTTCTCTTTTCGCCTATCTTACATGACGTTGCGTTAAGATACAATTTGGAATAATTGCCCATTACAAAGAGGATGAAATTATGAACATTACACTCGCTAACAATATGGAGTTCCGATTTTTAGTTTTCGATATTTTAATATTTTAATCCATATGGAAAAACACTTCAATTAGTCGACTCCATTTGACTTTACCCGAGCAATACAAATCAAAAATCTGACGGCTCTAACTAATTCACTCTCCAAAAAAAAAAATGCAAAGCATACAGAAGTTTTCACTTTAAAAAAATGTGTACAGATTTATATGTTTTTCGTTCTGATTTTACTGTTTCTAAAAATATATTTTTTATTTTAAGATAAACAAATAGGAATAAGAAAAACTGTTTATTTTATATGAAAATTAAGAATATATATTGGTTTTAAGACGTGGGTAAACTAATCAGTTTAGTAGTTGAGATTTCTGTATTTCTATTAATCCGTCAGTATATCCATCAGTTTACTAAATTTAACCTATACGGTCTATCAGAATGTTAGTGATCAGTTTTATGGCGCAATCTGCGCCATCATAGTTAATAAGAGGGACAGTTTTTACGGGGTTTTCAATTTTTGAGGGGAACAAATTTCGACGGGGTCATGAATTTTTCATATCAAAAGACAAGTGGAATCATGGAATATACCACAAGATGTGTAATGGTATATAATCTACGAATATTTAAATTATACTTTCGTTTGCACTGTTTTAAGAAGAGGGTAATAAAATATCTTGGGGGCGTTTAGGCTTTACTTTCGGTGACTAAAGAGTTAGCAGTAAATGCTTGTTTTTCTAAGCAAACTACCAAACATTTACCTGAATTAATTAACTCAACGTAGAGGACAGCTAAAGGGCACTGACTGTCCGACAGAGCTCATTGTCTGACAAAATGTCTTACGGCGAGGGCCCCATCGACCTTTGGTTCTCCTCCTTGTTCGCATAGTCTTCTCTAATTGTCTTTTGTCCTTATCGCTACTTGACCTAAGTACTATTACTAAAGTCGATACGTTTTTATAACAGTTATTTTTCATGTATTAGGTTCTTTTCAGCATTTTCATAAATCTGCAAAATTTAAATTAATAAGTAGAATTAGTTAGTTTTTTTTTGCAGTAGTAAGGGCGCCAGTGATGGACATAGTTAAGAATTTTTTTTTCTTTTTTGGATTATCTCTAGGGTCTCATTTTTCTATTTAGCACTTTAAAATTGAAAAAAAATCGTAAGTTATGCATTATACTCACCTCCATTTAAAAATAACGCCCTTTTGCACTAATGATGGACAACCCGAACTTCAATTGTTCTAGTAATGGACAGGGGCTCTATACTGAACATATTTCAGGAAAATTCTAAATTTTTATTTAACTATAAATATAAGATACAATTTGAATATACTCTTACCAAAACTATTAGTACGAAGTTATGAAACACACTCATCTCAAGAGCACTATAGGCAGATCTGTGAGAAGGGATGTAAAAGTCAGAAGGTCGAAATCTTGTGAATGGGAATGGACTGAGGACTTGAATTGTAGGCTTAAGAAGGATGATGATTGTTGATGATTTGAAAATGGAACGTATCTAGGAAATATATTCTTCTAAAGGAGGAAAATAGTCACCTTATCTCAGTGTAGTGGTGAGAGACATGGGGAGTATCTCGGGACACAATTCCAAATTTTACGCAGTACAGTCTTTTCAGTCTATTACTGACCACACGGCTCGTCATAATAATCCAGTTATCTTCCTTATATATATATATATATATATATATATATATATATATATATATATATATATAAAAGAAAAAAAAGCAGAGCTTATTGATGTCGGAATCCCCAATGATAATAACATAAGCTCCACTGTTGGACAGAAACTGAGAAAATATCAGGAACTAGCAATGGAATTGAAGGAACTATGTCATTTGGAGAGCGTCACCGCCACCCTAATTATTATATCCTCCAATGGACTGATACCAAAGACAACAGTGGCAGGCACGATGGGATTAAAATTATCTATTATCTGAAAGATGCTGAACACTCAGTTCTCTTAGACACAGCATGTATTGTTAGAACATTTTCAAACATCTAAAAAAATATTAAATATTAATATGTAGGTGGCTGGACTTCTGGTCTCCTACCTCAGAAACTCACCCCACAATGCGAGAATATTAATAATAATTAAATTTAAAAAATATTAAATACATAATTTCGTCAAAGCCTTAGAATAGGATTAACTATTCATTATTTAATTAATTAATTTTATACTTAAGTAGCTTAAATTAATAAGTTATGAGTAGTTGATTAAAGCTGAGGTATTGAGATCGTAACCTGTTGGATCTAAAGTGGGCGCCTAGGGGTAGGTACACTGATTAAGCTGCCCGAACTCGATCCACTCGCGTGCCCCTGATGTATACTTCGTTTTATCGAAATGACACGAAAACACTTAAAGTAATTGAGGTATTCCTTGACTTCATTCACTTAGCTTCTTCTCAGCAGAAAGTTAAATGTTCCGAAATGGAGAGGGAGAGGGGCTAGGGTATAAGAGAATGAAAACTTATCTTAATAATTATGTCGAGAAATAACTAACTGCTTAATATGCTATGTACTTACCTGACTCTTAATTTAATTAATCATTATTTCAGGTTAAATTCCTCTTCGATACTGACTCCTAACAAGCGTTATTCACTATATAAAGTCAAACTAATAAAATACAAATTTAAACTGAGTAGCCATAAATTTACTATATATGTTGTTCTGCCATATTTATAATACTTTGCCGGCTCTCTGTAGGGATAGGTTTTGATGAATGAGCTATCAAACGATAAGTAATATCATGGGAAAGCGATGTATCACAATTTCAAAACCTAAACCCTTACTACAACTGCAATACAAGTCATTAAAAAAATTGGAAGGTTTCCAAATTCAAATAACTCAAATGGTTCAATAAGTGGACGGATCGTGATGGGATAAATTATGTTTAAAATACTTTGGCGCGGACTTCAAGCCCTGTATAATCCATGGTTCTTGCCGAAAATCTCTTAGGTATAATAGCTGCGATTGGATACGGAGCGGGCTCGCTGAGTGGGTTAACGTGTGTGCTAAACACGTTTCCTGGCATCCTGATAAGCAAGAAAAAATGATAAAATAATTACGAGTTCGTGTCAAGTTGCCGAGGAGGCTTTTTAACCCTGACATTAATCCTCCACCCTCTCCACTGGCTCGGAAAAATTTCGTATAGCCTATAATGCGAGGAAGGGAAAGACAAAAAAAAAAAAAAAAATATTTGCAATGCTTTTTTGAAATACTTATCTTATATTTAAGTAATACAAATTGAAATAATTTTATTTAGAAAAATAAAGAGTAGTTTTGCCCAAATTCGAGACCGAGACGAGTCTTGATCTTGCGAACTCAGTCTTGGTCTTGCGCAAGAGTCTCGCAACAGTCTTGCAGTTACTTATTAGCATATTACTATAGAGATATTACTGTAATTTTTTAGATAAGAGAAACCTAACTAAGCCCGAATGGATAATTAGAAGAGTTAAACGCAAAAGTATATTGGTTATACCAATTCTTCACATATAGTAACTAAAATTGTCAAGTATTAGTAACTATTTTGTCTTAATTTTTATTTAAAAATCTATTTTTTTTA